TTTTCTATTTTTCCCGAGTTTTTCCTTTAAAAAAAAATCTCCTTCCCCAAATGTATTACTTCTTTATTGTTACATATTTTTAAACTTATTCATTTTCTATGTCATGATACTTTGTTTTCAAGAAATATTGTAAAACATCAAGAGCAAGAGAGAGAGAGAGAATGATAGAGAAACAGAGAGGGAGAGAGAGAGAGGGAGAGAGAGAGGCAGAGAGAGAGAAGGAGAGATAGATATAGAGAGAGGCAGAGAGAGAGAGAGAGAGGGGGGAGAGGGAGATTTTAAAATTACTGCTCTCCCGGCTTGTGGTTTAAAACATTGAAAACTGTGAAAACTCGAAGTTTACTTCCGCTTGAACCTCCGTAGTAGTTAGAGGATCGTTGTTTATAACTTCGAGGTTTCGCAAAATTCAAGTTTAAAACTATCATGGTCCCGGGCGAACATATCTGCTATCTCGATTAAAAAAAAGGAGTCGAGGAGGCGCGATATCTCAGTCGGTAGAACATTGGTCTCGTTATCCGGTGACCCGGGTTCGAAACCAAGTTGATGCGCTAGTGCCCTTTGGTAATGCTATGGTCACATTACCCAAAAGTAGCCTGCTCGGCGGCCGAGCGGCGAGTTTTTAACCAATTCTGCCCGGCGGCTGCCCGGCCACCGAGCGGCGGCCGCCCAGGCACCGCTCGTTTTTAGGGCATCGCTCGGACGCCGCTGAAGTTTTAGCGCGGAGTTAAAATTTGGGCGGCGCCTGCTCACTTTTCACTCGCCGTCCAAAATACGCTCAGTGCCTGGGCAGTCGCCGCCCGGGCGCCGACCTAATCGCTGGGCGATGCCTAATTCCAGCAGCGACCGAGCAGGCTACTGATCGGTCGGTCGCTGCTCTGATTTGTGACCATAGCTTAAGGCATTTATCCTCATTACCAGGTCCCTCGGAGAGGATCTTAAGCCGTCGGTCTTCCGGTTGCTTACTAACAAGCATTTATTGCCTTCTTAGCTGTCAGGTAAAATAACCACCACCACTATCACTATCTTTGACTTACCTATCTGTATCATCCAGGGGAACACCGTCTCCACCAAAGCCGCAGTAACAGCCATAGCCGATATAATCAAGACTAACTTCGATTACACTCTTTCCAAGTAGGCATTTTTGCATCATTCCAAATTGACCCAAGTGTGTCGTGTGAGGAATGCACCTGCAACCTGGGAGATAGAAGAGTATTCCCCAATAAGTAATGTTTTGTCTCATTTAGTAATTGGTCATGTTGGTTTGGACTAATTTCTGTCTTTCTTTTTTAAATCTCAATTCCTCTAACTCCCACTAGCCGACTTTTTGTTTAAAGGGAGGGGAGCGCCCCTTTTGAGATCAGAGTGGTAGACGATATGTATACAAGACAGTGAAAGAAACCTTTTTACGGATCTCTTTTATTTATTTAATTTTTTGATTTTTTAGGCTTGTCACTGAATTGTTCAAGTTATACCAAAAAAAGGACAGAATATTCCTCATGAACAAGGGAAAGGATTGGGGGCACCAACAAATCTTGATGTTTTTTCCAGGAATATTGTGCCCTTTCTGCTACTTGTGCTTTATAAATATTAAATAAATTGCAAAGTTGTGACGCTCCGGCTCCTAATCTTCAACTCCTGCATCGCAACAAATTATATTTCTTTATTTCATATTCATATTCTCATGTAGCATGCACATTTCATGAGTAACTAGATGGAATTTTGACTGCGCGCAGTCGAAAATGATGCCTCCGCCATAGAGCAATTTAAACAAGTTTGGAGTTTAAATCTCCAGTGGTTCTTGAGATATCATGATAACAATCTCAATGTATGGAATTTCATAAGTTGACCTCTGTGACCCTTGACCTTTGACCTACGTGCTCCAAAATCTAATCAGATTGTCTTCCTATGGTGATACACACTATCATTAAGTTTGAAGTTTAAATCTCCAGTGGTTCTTGGGATATTATGATATGGTGATACATACTATCATTAAGTTTGAAGTGAAAATTCTCCAGTGGTTCTTGAGATATCGCGATAACGATCTCAATGTATGGAATTTCATAAGTTGACCTCTGTGACCCTTGACCTTTGACCTACGTGCTCCAAAATCTAATCAGATTGTCTTCCTATGGTGATACACACTATCATTAAGTTTGAAGTTTAAATCTCCAGTGGTTCTTGAGATATTATGATAACAATCTCAATGTATGGAATTTCATAAGTTGACCTCTGTGACCCTTGACCTTTGACCTACGTACTCCAAAATCTAATCAGATCGTCTTCCTATGGTGATACATACTATCCTTAAGTTTGAAGTTTTTACATCTCCAGTGGTTCTTGAGATATCATGATAACAATCTCAATGTATGGAATTTCATAAGTTGACCTCTATGACCCTTGACCTTTGACCTACGTGCTCCAAAATGTAATCAGATTGTTTTCCTATAGTGATTCACACTATCACTAAGTTTGAAGTTTAAATCTCCAGTGGTTCTTGAGATATCATGATAACAATCTCAATGTATGGAATTTCATAAGTTGACCTCTGTGACCTGTGACCTTTGACATACGTGCTCCAAAATCTAATCAGATCGTCTTCCTATGGTGATACATACTATCCTTAAGTTTGAAGTTTAAATCTCGAATGGTTCTTGAGATATCGCGCTAACAAACTCAATACAAGGAATTTCATAAGTTGACCTCTGTGACCTGTGACCTTTGACCTACGTACTCCAAAATCTAATCAGATCGTCTTCCTATGGTGATAAATACTATTCCCGAGTCTTAAGTTTAAATCTTAAATGGTTCTTGAGATATTGTGATAACGGTCAAACGGGACGGACGTACGGACGGACGGACGGACGGACGTACGGACGTACGGACGGACAACCCGAAAACATGATGCCTCCGGCACCACCTTCGGTGGCGGAGGCATAATAAAATCAATAAGTTTTAAATGGATTAAAAATAAGTAAGAGGTGGAATGTACTTACCTGTAAGAAGAACAGAGAAGCAAGCGATGAAGGCAAGGAATTTCATCATGGTGTATTTTAACCGTTCTCTCTGTTTCCTCTGCGTAATGATTTAAACCATGTAGACACTCAGACGAAACAACTGGTAGAAAATTACTTCCTCGGATCAATACTTCCTCAGCTTAATGTGTCATGTTTAAATGAAATGTAATTCATATCCAAGGTCAAGGAACGATAAGACAAAACACTTGTCAATCAACGGAGAAAAATATATGATTGGCATTTGTCTGGTTAATAATTAGACTAGACGTAGAGATTATTCTTACGTGGTGGGTTCTGAAACACCTGTTGCTGTTATATAAATATCAACATATATCTTGACTTGGTATACCGTCTAAGGAAATGTTTTGTTAAAAATAGAAAATGTTTTAGGGTTAAGATGAATATAGATCTTATCTGTTAATTACTCAGGAATCATATATTCAAAAGCCTATCCATTATGACAAAGTTCGTTGAACCCAAAGTTCACGGTGGTATAATCGCACATGCATAGGAGCCAAACAAAAATCACCTTTCATTGAAACGTTTGGTTTGTAATGACCTGGGTAGGAAACTGATATAAATTTGTATTTAATTAGCAGATTGAAAATATTATATCAAGGATTGTTGCAGGAATTTTTACGGGGACAAGGCTTCTTTTTAGAATGTACATTTTTGTCTAACTTACCCTATTTTCTTTCTCACTCCCTCTTCTCTGTCTGTCTTTCTCTCTCTCACCCTCTCTGGCCCGAATTCACAAAGGAGGTTTGTCGACAAACCTAGGTTTATGTGCGTCATATGACGCGTTTCTTGGTTTGTAAAAACGCGTCGAAAGGCGTCATAATTATGACGCACATAAACCTAGGTTTGTCGACAAACCTCCTTTGTGAATTCGGGCCTCTTTGTCTGTCTCTCTCTCTCTCTCTCTCTCTCTCTCTCTATCTCTCACACACTCTCTCTCTCTCTCTCTCTCTCTGTATGTCTGTCTGTCTTTCTCTCTCTGTGTATGTCTGTCTCTCTCTGTCTCTCTCACTCTGTCTCTCTCCCAGTCTTTCTCTCTCTCTCTCTCTCTCTCTCTCTCTATCTCTCTCTCTCTGTCTCCCTCTAATCATATACTGGTTCAAAGGCCAGCCTTTTGAGTCTCCTTCACGACCTTGTATTCACTGCATTAATCATGAAGCGTATTTAAAATGAAAATCAAATGACCGTGGATAAGATTTTTTCCCCCTCGTCTATTTCATTCAAACTTTATGTACAGCATGTAAACTGACCTGATAATTGGGTTATAAAACGAAATTATACTATAACCCTGCAAAGCATGGACAGGGAACAAGTATTACCTCGGACAATTATCCCCATGTCACTCAGTTAAGTTCGATTTTGATACGTTTACTTTTGATTAATTATTTTTGAATTAACAATCATAGAACCCATAATATTTGGCGATAGATCGAAAGATTGCACAGGGATAATGTATAATGAATTTCCAATCACACACAAACGCATATAATATTATACACACACATTTAAGTTGATTTAAATAAACACTCTTTGAGTTACTCAAGATCACATGCAGGACAAGTTCACTGAGTGATAAGGAGAATGTATTTTACTTTAAAGATACTATGTCCCTTTTGCAGCCAACATCAAATTTTGTAAAACTTTGCAGGAATTCTGAATATGTCATGTCTGTCTTATCTGTGAAATGTAATCATTAGCAGTGTCCTGATATTCAAATTATGCATGGAAACCCGTTCACTTGCTAGACTTCCCTGTCAGACACTATTGAGTAACTGACTGGCGTTTTTTCTTCTTTGGTAATAACATACATAAAATGAGCTGTAAAGGGTACATGAGCATTTGTCTACATCAATAAACCACTTCTTGTAATGGCGAAAATTAAACTGATTGAATCTTTGTGCAGCACAAAACGTACGACCATTCGGTACAATGGTAGCACTTAAGTCGATTTGACAACTAACAGTCGATATTTTTCCACTTAAAGATATTTTCAAGCCCCCTTTTTTCTAGGGAAGTTCTAAATCAGTATTATCTTTCAAATGCTGCTGGAATTTAACCTTCTTTTTTTGGGCCTGCAAATAGGACATAGTACCTTAAAAGTACCAAATTTGAAACTAACATTCATTTTCTATTGTAGTTGAAAAGAAATGTATGAGGACAATCAGTATTATTCAATGGTTTGTTATTTCTTCTATCTCCTCATAGTAATACAATAATGAATCCAGAGAGAGATACGCGTCTATCAGCAGCTATCCTTGTCATATCTCTTATATCCCTCGTTATAGGTTGGTCTGTAACGTTGAAAGCATTCTGATCCTGCCTTGTCGCAGGCACACATAGCCATAGCACAGTCTGTGTACTTGTAATCTGCGTCATAACTGCTTGCATCAGCTAAACATAGGTAGAAAGAAAGGAAATAATTACAACTCATAGGAAATATAGGAATACCACTCAGTTTACTATCCATAACATTCTAAGATAAGTATCCATGTGACAAATCCAACAAATAATATACCCTAGCATTTTCTGAGATTAACCAATATAAATTATCTGTGGAGTTCGGCATAAAAGTATATCCATGACATTCTATTTTTCTCTAACATATTTGGGAATAAATAAAAATGATAGACGACTTTTCTTGCCAGGTAATGATGAACATTAACATGAAAGCATTTCAATATTTGAATAATAATCCGCAAAATATTTAGTTTTTCTGGATTGCTTGTTCAACCAATTCTACCAAAATCTACTGATAAAGACATCCTTGTCCCATAGTGCGACCATAAAAGTAAGTTTAAAGAAATGAAAGATATGAGTGGACTTTTAAGTTTACAAACATTTCTTTGGACTAAAAGGCTTGTGTATCCAAATGTGCTTACAACAACCATTAACGTATATCATTGAGCTTTTTGTAATAATTTGTGTTACAGTTTATTTAGCTTGAATAAACTAAAATACCAAGTGTGTCGTCCTTGACTTAATTTTTCATTCGATTTTCCTTGTTTTCTTTTTTATAAAAATTTCCCAAGTTTTTTGCAATGATAGTGACAAAAATCTAGTCTGTTCTGTTTAAGGTAAATCGTAGTCCATTCGCTTCATGTAACATGTAAATATTAACCCGTTGAATACTGAGTTCATTCTTTGCCATATGTTTAATTCATGGACCCACAGGTTCCAGTAAGCAATGGGTCAAAGTCAAAACATATTACACAAACTTACAGCAAACGATTTGTGCACGATAGGTGCCACATTGCAATGCGTTGTAGTTATAGGTAATGGTGTAGGCTTGGTTGGAACTCCGGCACATGTCACTGTTCTGTACGACTGAGTAGCAGTCATCGTGGGTCTGACAACACCTGACAAAGCAACAGTTAATTATGTCAATGATCTGTAATGCACTGCAGCAGTCATTATGGCCCGAATTCACGAAAGAGGTTTGTCGACAAACCTAGGTTTATGTGCGTCATATGATGCGTTTTGACGCGTTTCGAGAACAAACGCGTAAACTTTTGTTTGAAACGCGTCGAAACGCGTCATATGACGCACATAAACCTAGGTTTGTCGACAAACCTTATTTGAGAATTCGGGCCAATGAGCCTGACAACGTTTTAATGAGAACGATTCTATTCTTACTGCTTTGTGTACCCGTTTTCATAGTTTCGACAACATGTTAAATAAGAACAATTTATTATATAACTACCTTGTAGTATTAAGGGCCTTCGTTCACACAGGATTCAGAATATCATTATGTAGCTGAATGAGGGGATGCATTGAATATCCTTAATCATAGGCCTATTTCCTTTAAATCAAAGTCAACATATATTGAGCAACAAAAATAGGGAACATTGTGAGCCTTCCCGTTCAATGAAAAAAAAATCCGATTAGTTTCAATTCAGATCCAGTATTGCCACTGTTGTGATACTCACTATGGTCCGCATTTGATTAGACCGTTTCTACGAATGGAAGGCCTACATCACAGTTCTCATCCGGACACTACTAGGGACTTTTAGATCGAGTGGACGAGAACACGACGAACGCCGACTGATCATGCGTGTCAACGTACTCAACTGCCCATGTTGACTACAATTAGAATTCTTTTAGATTGCACTCGACGATATACATGCATGCAGGAAGTAACACTATGAACATGACAGACAAAGAAAGAGGACAAAATATACAGTTCCTCATTCTACCCTCAACAATAGGCCATTTTCGTAATGTAACCAAATTTAATGCATAGGTCTTTGTGAAGTGCCTCAATACAAATTATTTCATTCGCCTGATAGGAATAATAGTATTTCAATAGTCAGAATGCAACTGCATATATTAAGTGTTGCTAGGTAGGTCAAGCCATAATGTTTGTCCAACCTGGCAACAACTAACGTATGCAGTTAGGAGTCTGTCTATTGAAATACTATTATTCTTATCAGGTGAATAAAATAGTTTGTATTGAGGCACTTCACAAAGACCTATGCATTAAATTTGGATACATTACGAAAATGGCCTATTGCTTTGGTAGAGCATCCCTTCACTGCTATTATGTACAAATGTGTAGAACAGGTGAATATGCATGTGACACCTGTTCTACACATTTTTACATAATAGCAGGGAAGGGATGTTCCTTTGTCTACCTGAGGAACTGCACGCGGCATATACTATATTTAGGAAAATCAAGGTTGACGCCCTCTCGATCGCCGACTGAGACGACGTGACGCATGCGCAGTGCCTTACAATGACGTCACATGTTGCAGTCAAAGCTGTCAACGTGCAAATCTAAAAGTCCCTATTATTCCACTATCACCAACCTCAAGCAGAGTTGTAATTGAGAACAGACAGATGATTCTCAAAGTTGAGTTTATTTATAAGGTTTAAGATTTCACAATGTGATGAGAAGTCCTGAAAAAAACTATCAGATTTGAAGAAGAAAAAAAATCGTAAAGAGAGAGGATGGGAAAAGTATTCTTGCCATCCTACTTTGTATTGCTGAGAGAGAAGTAGAAAACTTAAGAAAAGAGAGTTAAAGAGAGTTTAATAATCTGTCGTGTGTACCCGCACACGACAGAATAACCCTCTGAAAAGGACTAGTAACCCGAATCATTAATACAGAAAGAGAGTGAGAGGGAGAGATAGTGACAGAGAAATGAGTTTTCGTCATCGAATTAGGAAAAAATCGTCACTTCTTCAAATCTTCAGACCAGATGTCGAGGAAGATGTATTCAGACTTACCTATCGGTATCATCAAGAGGAACACCTTGACCTCCGAAGCCACAGTAACAACCATATCCATTGTAGTCCAGACCAGCCTCTATTGTACTCATGTCTAGAAGACATCCCATCATTACGCCAAACTGACCAACGCTTTTTGTCTGGGGCATCGTCATACAACCTGCAAACAACCGAAACATTTCTAATTATTCTTCTCCTCCATTTCTTCTTTTTCATCGTCAACATATTTATTTTCAATTTTTTCTTCTTCTGCACGTGAGGATGCGTGTGTGATCATCTAATAACTATATTTGAATTGATTTCAATTTATTTCAATCGATTTTGTTGATTCCGATTGTTTTTTGCTTTCTTTTCTTCATTTACCTGAATGCTAAGAAAGCATGTGTATGCATGTGAAAAGCAACAGGGTGACTGACGACATTTAAAACTCCTCTCCGAGGGAGTTGATAATGAGGATCAGTGCCTTCCCATAGGGCACTGGCGGATCGAATTAATTTCGAATCCGGGACCTCCCAGTAACGTGACCACTGCTCCACCACTGAGCATTCGCGCCTTCTCCTTTGATTCTTCCAGTAAGTGATACTTAAAAAAAACAACCTTTAACACAAAGGGGAAATATGTGTAACTTTGCAGGAGAAGCCATTGAGATCATTTCTAATGATCCCCTGGGGCCTCCCTGCTGGAAAGAACACACTCATTCACACTCATTCACAGTGTGAAATTGAATGAGTGTGTTCTTTCCTTTTCCAGTTATCCACACTGTGAACCACAGTGTGAAACGAATCGAGCACAATGTGAAAACGCCCCAATTTAACATTGTGGAGCACACTGTGATTCACAGTGTAAAACACAGTGTGATTCACACTGTGAATGAGTGTGTTCTTTCCTTTTCAGGTTATCCACACTGTGAACCACAGTGTTAAACGAATCGACCACAGTGTGAAAACGCCCCAATTTAACATTGTGGAGCACACTGTGAATGAGTGTGAATGAGCGTGTTCTTTCCAGCAGGGGTTTTCAATTCACTATACGAATTAAGGGTAAGTTATGTTATCTAAGCCGAAAAACTGAGTAAAATACTTTAACCTAAGCATTTAAAAGGTAGAATTTTAATCGATGTTGTAATATTCAATAAATCAAGGCTCATTCTCATGACAAATGTAATAACAATACCCTTTTTATCGTCAACTGCCATGCGTAGCAAACGATTCTCAAAGATTCACTGACTGCACAAAGCAATAATTATGATCATATGAGAATATTAAGAGATATTAAGTAATGGACTACCTCATAGTAAACCTAACTCCAGGAAATAATGTAAGTTTCAGAGAGATTTATTGTATTATTGTCTAATAATCTACAAGATTCACCAGCAATATTTATGAGAAAGGAATAAAGCAAACTATTATTAGCGTAATGTACATTTGTAAAGGGTTCTCTAATTTCAAGATATTTTTAACTGGCTCACAATTTTTAATAGGACTTTCAGCTAAAATTTGTTGGGTGTCAGTTTCCTTTTTTATAGAAGGAAATCAAGTAAAGACACAGTTGTTTTTACTCTCAAACAGATCACAAAATTTGCTTAAATTATGTAATTATATTCTAGACCCAGGGCCGTATTTGTGCTTGTGACACCAATTTTTTCAGATTTTTGTGTTATGAACAATGATAAATAAAATGCACCAAAATATTGATGTCAGAGTATGAAAAATAGTGGAATATAAAAAGAATGCGTGACATTACCTGTAACAAAAACAGCAAAGCAAGCGAAGTAAGCAAGTGACTTCATGGTGTACACGTAGTTTCCTTAGATGTCACTTTTCTTTAGGATTAATTAAAATAATAACAATTCTACGATTGATCACAGCTTTGTACTACTTGACCGGTACCTTCAAGAAGTTTAGAATGAGTAAATTTAAACTATAATACACACAAGGACTTAAACCTGATATATATATATATATATATATATATATATATGACGTAACAATTAGAACCGGAAAATAGAGGATTTGCGTCAATTAGAGGGTTAATGATTATATTAATCGAAGGGATTATCCTGGAGGTTCAAGGTAATGGTGGGTAGGGAACATCTGTTCTAAAGAATTAAAAACTACGATAAGGACGTATCTAATCTCAAGAAATGGTACAGTTTGGATCCCATAAATAGATCCTCTTAAAGAAAAAATGTATTAATGTATCAATTGTTATCTATGTTGAGTGTAAACAAAATCTGCAATTTAGTCATTCAGACGCAAATGATTTCTATCAATAAACCGTTTTAAATGAATAAAGAAAGAAAGAAAGGGACGAACTTTCAGAAACGTCTGGAATGAAAAAAAACTTCTTATTCATAAAAACAAAACAATTCTGCCAATGTTTAGAAATGTTTGCGAATGAATAGGATGAACGAATATAATATCTTACTAATGATATTAAAATACTGAATAAGCCGTGCTCAATAGCAAAGTTAAATGCAATTAACAAATTATCACACTTATTCAGTGAAAACTTACACTTGAAGGACAAAATACTGATAATTATGTAAACCAAGGTCACAGTTTTAACGATAAATCTTTTTCTAACTTATAACGAAAGTTTGATAATTTTGTCTAAATTTTAAGGTCGTACACATTCAAACCAGCCCGAACAACTTTCAGATTTTTGAAATTCTTAGTTTAGCTGTAGACGGCAAAGTGTCCAAAATTATTGACATCCCGCACCATCCTAAATGATGTGTTTAATCAAACAATCGCGATTAATTGCCTTGTTTTAGATTACCGTTCATTTTACGTTGATCCTGTATCTTCCCATACAATAACCACACACTACTTTTTTGTAAGATGTTAGATATATGAAGATTTTAGAGATTTGAAAAAGGGTAAAAGTGAAATATACTTCTTTATTAAAAGAATGTACACGCAGGTAGCTGCATCAAACCAGAAATACCACATTTGCTTTCTAACTCTAAACATAAATCACATTATATTGTATTATGTTCCTGTTAATGGAGACCTTTGTTGCAAAAACCCGTAGGCTTATTTTCAGATAGCTTGAATAAACTTTAAGAAAGGAACGTAACGATTTTCCCTCGTATGTATTTGCTCGAGAATCAAATCTTAAAAGATAATATACACGTAAACCTCTTACAAATCTTCCTCTTATCTCTCTCTCTCTCTCACTCTCTCTCTCTCTTCTCTCTTCCATTCTTTTTTGTGTCTTCCTTTCTATCTGTCTTTCTCTCTCTTTCTCTTTCTCTCTTTTCCTTTCACCCACTGTCATACTCACACCCGTTAAACATTTTCGTACTGTATACCGATACGTCAAGAGTAGACTAAAAGCTTTTATAATGCCACATTTAAAAGCTTTCGTATTGTATAATCATTAGATTATCACGCTCCCAACGTCACTAATTGCGAGAAGGCTGGTAAGATATTCTCCAAATATTATCTTTTACTTTAAAAATGATCATATACAGAGAGAGAGAGAGAGAGAGAGAGAGAGGTTCTATGAGAGATTACAGTCCTTGGGTCATACTCAGAACAGGTGATGTGTTGCAGAACATGATATGATTATCTAGAACTTGACATGCAAGAAAGACTTATGATAAAGTACGACAGGTGAGAGAAAATTGTATAATTTATCTTTAAAGAAATCTTTAGTCATATCTCCTGGTCAAATAATAAAGTGATTTTTTTTTTAGATGTTCATCTGGCAGATGTCCACGTGCAAGAAGTGATTTTTCTCTTTGTTAACGATTTTGTATTTTTGTGGTTAAAGGGATAGTTGAGTTCTGTTGCGGAGGGCGCTACACAAAATGATTTTTGTTTTGTGAGATAATGAAAAACTGAGTGTCAAATTTGAAAGAACATAATATTTCAATGACAAAATCATCTTTGTTTGGTCAAAATCGGTTCAGAGAAATATATAGATTTCTAATACTTTTGTACCACCACAAATATTAGATATTTTGAAAAATTTGAAAAAACCGTTGAAAAAACGAAATAACGCCTTTTACGTCGTATTTCAGCCAATGCTGATGTTGGCTTTTTTGTTGGCATTTTCGTGTTGCTTATATTACTCACAATTAGCCGGCTTATGTATTGTTATTTTTAATTGAATAATTAATTAACGGTCACCGTGTTTTTTTAAAAAGCGGAGCTGAATCGTATTGGCTAAATTTCACACATTCTAGGGTCTAAAATTACCTTCATAGCAATTTTAGGTTCGAAAAGGGCACTATAAATGTCATAGATAAGAATAAGAGCAATAACCATGCATTTTGAAGGCATTTGCAGTCTGAAAACAGAACTCAACTATCCCTTTACGCCTCGGTCACAAATGCCATTACGAACTGCTACGAACGCAGTATACGAACGATTTTCAGACAATGGAAATTCGGGAAGACAATGGCAAAACAGAGAGATTCGTACGAAATTATTGTTCTAACATGTACAAACCTTTGTGACCGTAGCATTAGTAATTTAAACGTCTCATTGGAATAACGTCATTGGCATGATTGGGAATTTTTTAACTTGTGCTTCATTGTACTCATACTATCGTCCTCAAGAGTAATTTGTCTTTCGTCAGCCTTCTCCTTTAATATGTTCTGTTTTTTTAATTCGTACTCAGTTCTTTCATTAACTTTGTCATTGATTTCATCATGTGTAAATGATAAAAGTGCACTTTAATCATGTTAATAACAGAAGCTTGACCCCCCATGAAAGACTAATTTTATCAAGTGATGTTAAAGGGCTATTAGAATGTCAGTACAGCTGATGTAATCATTATATATTATGACATATCATCCTCTCCTCTCTCTCTCTCTCTCTCTTTCTCTCTCTCTCTCTTTCTTTTTCAACCAACGTTTAGGAATCATATAAACATATGTAAAATACTCTAAAATGAACCTATAATGCTATTATGTAACGAATTATAATTATTAGATTGTCAAGATTCTGTTTATTTTCTTGCTGGTATAAGCTTATTACCAAGCCGATTACGACTGAACCTTTGTGACGTCATCCTTTCCTACTTCATATCATTAAATTCATTTTTTTAATCTGACAGCCTTTTATGATCTCCTTACTAGATTATCAAAAGAGATATGCATTTTTAAAAAAATCCGTACGTAATTGTCAAATCTGTCTTTTGGGACCACCAA